GTCCTCATACATGTCCTCACGTCCTCCTGTCCTCATACATGTCCTCACATCCTCCTGTCCTCATACATTTCCTCCTGTCCTCTTATATGTCTCTGTCCTCATACATGTCCTCCTGTCTTCAAACGTGTCCCCGTCCTCAAATATGTCTTCCTGTCCTCATTTACATTCTCCTGTCCTCATACTGTACATGTCCTCATACATGTCCTCAAACGTGTCCTCCTGTCCTCAAACGTGTCTCCCTGTCCTCAAACGTGTCCTCCTGTCCTCAAACGTGTCCTCCTGTCCTCATACATGTCCCCCTGTCCTGTACCAGCTTCAAGAAATAGCTCTGATTCATTAGCTTTCCTTTTAAATGTAAAACACAAAGGAGTTCCTGTCTTTAAAAAATAAAAGCCTAAAACAGAGTTTCTTCGCTTTGCTTCTGTTGTTAATTTTTCATGGGTTTAGAGTTTAAAGCTCAGACTGTTTCACAGAGTTTCAGCATCTTTCTAACCTTCAGCTGCTCAGATCGACACAAAATCCATGAGAGGTTCTGCTGGACTCAGATGAAGCTGGTGGGTTTCAAGCTAAAGTAAAAACATTAAATTTAACATTTTGTCCTGACTGAAACATTGAGAGAAACAAACCTGGTGGTCGACTCTCCCTGCTCCTTCCTGGAGAAAACACAAAAATACAGTATTTATTTATTTAAATTAATCACAAACAGCTAAAAAGACAGTTCCGGTGTTTTTGCTTGTTTTAGCTCATAATCACATTGCATAAAAGATAAACATGAAATAATTATTTAGAAGCAAACAAAAAATATTGTGTTTTTCAGCACAAAGTCTGTTAATTAAAGTAACTTATTTTGATGTTTTTGTTCAGATTATCTCATACAGGACTTAAGTTTAAACTACTTAAGCTAATTTTAACAAAACTAGATAAAGAAACATGAACCTCATCAAACAACAAGCTAAATCCTGCAGAAACACCAACGTTTGTTTAAAATTTAAAACTGATTTTTTTTAATTCAATAAGAGCAGAGGCAGGAAGTGCAGATAATCTGAAGCAACAAATCAATCAGAAACGTGCATCTGAGATTAAAACGTAATAAAACAAGCAGATTGTTGCAACATGCAGGCTGGATGCAAACTAAAAAAGTTTTTAAAAAGGAGGTAGATTTAAACATTTATTTTTCAGGCTCCAAAGACTTATTTTGTAAAGTCAGTTTTAAATTTGGTCACAAAGGAGAAACGACCTGGAATTATTTCAATTAGGCWCATATGTTTTTTTTAATTTAATGAGATTACACATTATTTTACTCTCTTTCTTCATTAGAGTCTGAAAGTCAGAGCTGTCTTCTTAAAAAAATTAATAAATAAATTGGAGCCTCTGCTGAAACTGAAAGTTTGGAAACATTAAACTGCACTTTTCCATTCAGAGGAGAAACAGGAAAGACTGTGGCATCAGGAGAAGCGACTCCGTCTGTATAACGCAGTCTGAGGGACAAAATTAAGACTATTGTGCAACCAGCTGTTGCTACATCCTTGTGGCAGGAGGCTATACCTGTTCCTAATCCAGCTATTGATCTGATTAATGATAGGCCGACACCGCTAACTGAGAGCCCAGAGCTGGCTAACGATAAGGGGACTATTCAGTTGTGTTAGCATCAGAGAGGCCAGCAACTAGCATGGATAGGCTGGCGTTAGCTTTGGAGAGGTTAACAACTAGCATGGATAAAGGCGTTAGCATTGAAGAGTCTAGCAACTAGCATGGATAATCTGGTGCTAGCATAGAAAAGGTTAGCAAATAGCATGAGGCTAGCAACTAGCATGAATAACCTGGCGCTAGCATCGAAGAGGCAAGCGACTTGCATGAATAAGCTGGTGTTAGCATCGGAAAGGCTAGCAACTAGCATGGTAATCTGGTGTTAGCATAGAAGAGGTTAGCGACTAGCATGGATAAGCTGGCGTTAGCATTGAAGAGTCTAGCAACTAGCATGGATAATCTGGTGCTAGCATAGAAAAGGTTAGCAAATAGCATGAGGCTAGCAACTAGCATGAATAACCTGGCGCTAGCATCGAAGAGGCAAGCGACTTGCATGAATAAGCTGGTGTTAGCATCGGAAAGGCTAGCAACTAGCATGGTAATCTGGTGTTAGCATAGAAGAGGTTAGCAACTAGCATGGATAAGCTGGTGTTAGCATCCCAGAGGCTAGTGACTAGCATAAATAACCTGGCGTTAGCATAGAAGAGGCTAGCGACTAGCATGGATAAGCTGGTTTTAGCAACAGCGAGGCTAGCAACTAGCATGGATAAGCTGGAATTAGCATTGGAGAGGCTAATGACTAGCATGGATAAGTTGGTGTTAGCATTGGAGAGGCTAATGACTAGCGTAGATAAGCTGGCGTTAGCATCAGAGAGGCTAGTGACTAGCATGGATAAGCTGACATTAGCATCAGAGAGGCTAGTGACTTGCATGGATAAGCTGGCGTTAGCATCAGAGAGGCTAGTGACTAGCATGGATAAGCTGACATTAGCATCAGAGAGGCTAGTGACTTGCATGGATAAGCTGGCGTTAGCATCAGAGAGGCTAGTGACTAGCATGGATAAGCTGGCGTTGGCATCAGAGAGGCTAGTGACTAGCATGGATAAGCTGGCGTTAGCAATGGAGACGCTAAAGATTAGCATGGATAAGCTGACGTTAGCATCGGAGAGGCTAATTGCACAATAGTCCTAATTTTGTCCCTCATACCACACCATACATGTGAATCTGAGGAGCAGGAGGAGATCAGCGCAGACATAAACAGACACCAGCTGCCACATTTTAATACCTACTTGGTCGGGCTGCAGGTGTGCAACGCCTTCAAGTGAGGCTTCCAGGTAGCAACGGAAACCGAGTTCTCATCAGCCGCATAACTACGCCACACACACTGCATGCAGAACACAAACAGGAGACCCCTCAACAAACCCAACAGATCATTAGAAGGAGAAAAATCATCAAAACAAGAGCGGAGACAGCATTAGGAGGGAGAGAACCGAACAAATGAAGAAGATGATTAGTAACATTGTTTCACACGTCCGAGGGGTGGGCACAGGTCCAGCATGGATACGTGCCTGAGCGACGGCAGCAGCAGCTCGTAGTGGCGCCATGTGGCGTCCAGGTCGGGCCTGGCGCTGTCYGTGGAGTAATAGCGCCACGCGGTCTGGTGCAACATGAGGACGCACGGGATGAAGACGAGGAGAGAGGGAAGCATGTGGAGAAACGTGAGGACGGACTGACGTGAAACAAAAACTGAGATCAAAACGGTAACAGCAGAGTGAGGATGAAACAGAAAGAGGAAGATACATGTCAGCAGTCTGATGGTTCATWAAGAATAAAAGGAGAAAAAAATTTAATCACGTTTTATTTAACAGATATCAACTTATTTTTGTTCCTTTTTAATGCCGATTCATGTAGATGTTAATTAGYGAATGTAGCTACCACCACTGGTGAGGTTTACTGAGTTGACGGTACATATCCTGCAAAATCCACTTCTTTTTTAGCCGTTAAATACTTTCTATTGTGTACTTTGAGTCTCTAGGTGCCATAAAKTTGAATTTAGTCTCCTGGTGCTGCRCAGATATCTTTAAATTCTGTTTGGGTCAGTGGTGTGCACGCTTCTGCTAATCCGCTAATGGTGGAACTAGCTTCTCAATTAGCAAATAATCTTTTTGCCAGCTTTGATTAGAGAGACCTTTATTGTCATTGTACAGAGAGCACAATGAAAGTACAGTTCAGAACACCCATTCAGAAGAAGACAGAACATAAACATGGGGCGGCTGTGGCGGAGTGGTTAGGGGAGTCGTCCTGGAACCAGAAGGTTACTGGTTCGATCCCC